AACCATCTCACACCTATAGACGAGGACAGTGTGGGGGTGGTGAAGGCCTGGGGTGCGATGGGAACTGGTGGAGGGGAGCTATGAGGGGGTGGGGGGAGAGATGAACATCTGTAATAAACTGAACAATAAAGATTTAATAAATAAATAAATAAAAAGCATGGACTCTAGAGTCAAATTTTGGGTTGAAATACCAGGCCTTTGGTTTGCTAACAAGTCGCCTAGCCTCTCTGTGCCTCAGTTTCCTCATCTATAAAATGGGAATAACAATAGCACCTCCTCATAGAGATCTTGTGGTGATGAAGTGAGTTGATACCAGGCAATGCACTGATCCCTAGCAGACACTCAGTACTCAGTACAAGTTAACCAGAACTTAGTATGTCCACATCAAAGGCAGATATTATTATTCCCATTTTACAAATGAGGAGACCAAGATTCAGAGATGGGAAATGATACGTGTGTTGTTTTTTTATTGATTTTAGAGAGAGGAAGGGAGAGGGAGAGAGATAGAAACATTGATCCACTGCCTCCAGAATGCCCCCTACTGGGGATCGAGACTGAAACCTGGTATGTGCCCTGACCGGGAATCGAACCAGTGACCTCCCAGTGCATAGGACAATACTCAATCCACTGAACAACACTGGCCAGGCAGGAAATGACTTGTCCAAAATACATAGAAAAGCCCATACTCAATCGCTGGGGCTTCTGCCCTCAAATCCTCACCCACTTCTTCTCTACCAAGCAATCCCTATTCACCTTTCAAAGCCCAGCCTCTCATGTCCCACAACCTTTTGGAATGCTGTCCCACTTAGAGCTAATGTTTCCCTCCTCTGGTCCTAAAACCCACCCCCCAAACCCCCTTACTTGCAGAGCTGGGGGCCAGCGCCCCGCGTGAGGACAGGGGTGGCAGGCACACTTCGCCCCTCAAAACTGGAGGCACTCCTGGGCAGCGAGCGTGTAGGGCTAGACAGAAACGGGCAAGCCCGGGTAGGGGTCCACATTAGAGACTGTTCCCGCCAGCAGGCCCTCCTGCCAGCCCAGGCTCAGGACCCTACTCCCGGCTCACGGAGAAAGGAGGGAAGGGACTGAACCTCACCTGGTGGGGCTGGCCACGGAGTTCCGTCGGCTCTTCAGGTCACCATAAAGATCTGACGGGGGTGGTTTCCATGGGGTTCGCCGCTCAGGGCTGCCCCCAGATACTGCCCGCAGCTGGTCCCAGGTCTTGGGCGGCGAGGGGCGCTCAGCCAGAGGGAAGCAGCTACGAGGATCCTCTGGGTAGAAGACAGACAGTCAGTGGGGGAGAATTCAATGAGAGGGCCAGGTAGGTTGTGTGTAAAGCAAAGGGCAGGGGCTGGGGAGGCAGGAGGGGAAGAGGGCTGGGCAGGGCTGAGCAGGCTGAAAGTGAAGAGGGGAGTCCCACTGGAGGACAGGGCGTGGCTAAGGAGAAGCTGGAGAGGAAGGGGAGGGGCTGAACATCAAAGGGTGGTGGGTTTGGGTGAGGGAGTCCTCACCATTATCGTGGCTGGCCCCAGACTCTGAGAGGGAGCTGCTCTCTGAGTGGAGAACTACATCCTCTACAGGCGAGAAGGGAGAGACCCAGCCCATCAATACCAGGCCTGGGGCCATCCCCTTATACCACTGGCCCATCTCCGCACCACCTTGCACCCTCCCCAAGAATCCACCTTTCCCTGAATCCCAGACCACCAGAGACCTGGCCCCAAACTTTCCTGGGGCCTATAGGTCAGTTCCCAATGCCCACCCCACCCCCCCATTGCCCGGAGCCAAATTACCACCACTCCTCTCACTGTTCAGGTCCCTCAGGTTCTGCCTGGCGCCCACTTTTCCCTGGCTTTCCCCACCTCCACCCCCCACCCCCGCTAGCCAATGCCCATTCCCCTGCTTTCACTGGGCAGGTGCAGGAGCCTGGCTCACCTTGGCTGAGCTGAGCGAGGCGTGTGCCCAGGCAGACACCCTGGGCTGTGATGACTGCCCCTGTGGACAGCGGGAGCACGGGGAGACCGAGGCGGGCTCGGAGGTCCCCAAGCTGCTCCTCCAGCTCGTGCAGCCTCCGGAGAGCAGTTATATTATAGCTTTGTGTAATGAAACCTCCTTTCTAGTTGTGACTTATCAATATCAACACCTGTGTAAACTGAGTTACTTTTTAGCAGGTAAAGAAATTAGCACACCACGTCAAAAGTCGGAAAATGCCAAGCACAGGAAGCAGGCGGTGGAGAGCCATCTACACTGGATGTGGGGCCTGTTCTTCCTGGGGATGGAGCTTATTCCCTGCGCAGGCACAGCCTGTCTTGATTAGAGTCTGGGCCTATTTATCTTCCAAAGGCTGAGGCTCTTCCCCACAGGTGGGGACCAGTATCCTCTCTCAAACCAGGAACCCGCCCGCCTCCTTCAAGGCCTGTCCCTTTGCATTCTGGCCTCTCCTTCCCCTGGACGCAACCCTACTCCTGGTCCAGGCTCCTCCTCCTCGGTATCTGTCTCATCCCCAACCTGTCCTCCCTGGCCATCTGCTCACCTCAGCAGGGCACAAGGAATGATGCACTGGATTAGGGGGCGGTGGCGGGTAGGCTCGGGCTGCAGGGGGCCGCCGTCGGACCAACTGCGGCCGTTCACCAGGCTCCAACGGGCACTCAGGGGGAAGCTGGCCAGTCAGCTCCTGAGGGGGCAGGCAGCAGGAGTCAGAGACTATCAAGGGTTAGTTGGAGGGAGGGGGCTAAGCAGTCAGGACTCCAGAAGCTACAGAATTCCTAGTAGGAGCCCAGTCCTGCTCGGCATCGCCTGCCTGTTATTTCTCTTCCTCCTCCCAATTCTCCACCAGGCAGGTGCACAGCCTGGACTCTCACCCCTTGACCCAAATCCCGGGCAGTGGGCATGGGAGGCGGGGAGACTTGCTTTGAGATCCAGAATTTCTGAGTTTTTATGAAGACACACAGTCTAGCCCTGGCCGGGTTAGAGCGCCAGCCCGCACACTGAAGGGTCTAGGGTTCAATTCCCAGTCAAGGGCATGTACCTGGGTTGCAGGTTCGATCCCCAGCCTGGGCCCTGGCCAGTAACCAATCTCTCTCTCTCTTCCCCCCTCTCTCTTTCTCTCCCGTCCCCCCTCCTTCCCTTTCACTCTCTCAAAAAATCAATGGAGAAAATATCTTCAGGTGAGGATTAACAGCAACAACAACAAAAAAGACACTCAGTCTATAACCTGCGCATTACAGAACACTCCTTCAGGGCCTGGTGCTGTATGCTCTGACCTGCATTATTATTTCGGGCAGACTGTGTGCACATTCACACCAAGAGGGAATAACCACTCCAAATCACCCTGTGTCAGGTCAGGTCAGGTTTTACTGCCAAGTTTTGGAAATAACGGTTGTTTTGCATTTTTTTTGGACTTCAAATGGTTGATGGGGGGTGGGCCCCCATTGGCTTTTTCATTGATTCTAAGACATCTAAGTTGAGCTAGAGGGTGACAGGGAATTGGCACCTCAGATAGATGTCTCAGCAATGGCCACCCCAGTCTGCCTCCCTAGGGGCCCTGGATTCTCCACCCCCTCCCACACCAGACACTCGTAGGGCCAGGCTCTCACCGCCTCTTGGAGGCACACTTTGCGTAGCTCCTGAAGTTTCAGGCTCAGGGCCTCCTGTAGAGCCCGCTGCCGGTCAAGCAGTCCCCTCAGACGCTCTGACTTCACCTGGGGAGTGGCCTCCCCAAACAGGGCAGCTGGACACAGAGGGAGCAAAGATCAGTGGTGCAGCCATAGCATCCTGCATCCTGTAGGGCCAGAGACCAGCCCTTCTCAAGTGGGCAGGCAAGTGGTGACTCAGAGCAGGGGAGGAGGCAGCAGGAAGGAGAACCAGATACCGACCTGAGGCATTGAAAGTGGGAGAGGTGATCAGCTGACCTTTGACTTCCATCCTGGTGTTGTCAAGAGGCCGAGGCCGTGGCTTATGGTGGGATAAGGCCTGGTAGTGATGCATGAGAACCATTAAGGAAGCACATGTGTGGTCCCTCACCCAGCTTCCCACACCCCGGGAAGAAGGGGTACCCTGACCCCACCCGCCTGCTTGACCTGCCCTCTCAGAATCTATGTCAACATCTGGCCTCCACCAGGCCCTCATACCTTGGTTCCCTTCCCATTGAGTGGGAGCACAGCAAGTGGGGAGCTGGGCAGACTTATGATGCCTCCTCAGAGGCCCATGGGCCAGTCAGGATTCTCACCTGGAGGAAGAGAAGTAATGTCACAGATTCAACCAACTAGAACAACAGTGGGCATTTCCTTAAGCACCTGAGTGCGTGGAAGAACTACCTTATATGCCACCTTTAATCTTCACAACCATGGCAGTTTTGTAATTATCACTACTCCCAGTTTATTATTATTTTTTAATATTGTTATTGATATCAGAGAGGAGGGGAGAGGGAGAGAGAGATAAAAACATCAATGATGAGAAAGAATCAATGATGAAAGAGAATCCTGCACATCCCACACTGGGGATTGAGCCCACAACCCAGGCATGTGCCCTAACCGGTAATCAAACCGTGACCTCCTGGTTCATAGATCGACACTCAATCACTGAGCCACACTGGCCGGGCCACTAACCCTAGTTTAGAGATGAGGAGAGGAAGGCACAGAGGTGAAGAAACTTGCCTCTGGCTAAGGATAGAGCCCAGGCCACCCCTTCGGTCTAACATTCTCCATCACTAGAGCTGCTCCAACCCCACCAATTCCTCATAAGGTCACAGCCAATCTGACCTCAGGGCCTTTGCCCAGGTTATGGCTGCTGTCTGGAGTGCTCTTTTCACCTATCACCACACCAGACCCTGGTTCTCACATGCTAGGACTTAAATGTCACTTCCAGAGTTGGGCCCCCACATTACATTCCCTCACAACTGCTGTCCAATAAGAGACTGTCTTCCTCATACATTCAGGAGGACAGGGTATGTGTGTGCCCTGTTTTCATCAGTGTATCTGGCACTCAGAGAGATTCTGTGTGCACAGCAAGTGCTCAACTGGATCTGCTGGGTGAATGAAAGGAGGACGAGCTCTAGCTGGTTTGGCTCAGTGGATAGAGCGTCGACCTGTGAACTGAAGGGTCCTGAATTTGATTCTGGTCAAGGGCACATGCCTGGGTTGCGGGCTCGATCCCCAGTAGGGGGCATGCAGGAGACAGCTGATCAGTGATTCTCTCTCATCATTGATGTTTCTATCTAACTCTCCTTCTCCCTTCTTCTCTGGAATCAATAAAAATATAAAAAAGTAAATTAAATTTAAAAAGGATGACGCGGCAGCCAGCCCAGGGAATGAGCCTAGATCTGTGGGTCGCTACTCATCCCAACTCTATCCTGCAGCTTTGGTATGGCAGGGAGAAGAGTGTCCACTTGGCTTCAGGACCCCTCCAGCCCCTCTGCCCACCCCAGTCTGTCCCACACCCAGCAGAGTGAAGTCACCCTGCTGGGACTTTGAACAGTGAAGTCCACAAATACAGATAATAAGCCGACTGCCTCCGGCCTCTCTCTCTGGCCCAAGCTGCCCTAGCTGACCATGGGGCTTGCTTTGGCAGGCTATCAGCCCTGCCCTCATCCCCTCCTCTGGAGTTTGCTCCCTCCCTCCCACATCCTGCTCAGTCCCCAGCTGGGCAGCCAGGTGACATCACCTGCCACCATCTGGCCTGACCTCAGTGGCAGGCAGCTGGGAGGGCCTCAGGAGGTCACAGACGTCCCATCCCCATCTACCTTGAACCTACCAGCTTGTTACAAAATACTGGCTAGGTGTGGAGAAGACCCAGGCAACTGAGCAAGCATGGATTCAAGCCCCCTCCCCATCCGTACAATGGGAGACGTGGCCAAGCCTCGGCAGTCCTCCTACCCGCCCCATAGGATCTGTCCCCTTCTGTGGTTCCCTGTCTTCAACATCAGGGGCAGGGATCAGAACCTAAAGCCCTTCCGCATACCCAGGCAGCAGCGTGTGCTTTGCAGAGGCGCTCACATGCCCATGCTCTGAGGTCTGACATTGCTCAACACAGCGGGGTTTCCTGAAGGCCCCAGCCCAGCCTCTCTGCCCCTTGGCTCCTGAGGATCCTTCTACCCAGCCTCCATTTGGGTTTGAGGAACCCTCCCAAGGCTCCCCTAAACCTTTTGCCCTCACGGAAACCTCCACTCCTCCCCGGTGGTCCCATTGGCCAGGGCTGGTCCTACATCTCACATGAAGCTGCCTTAAGCCGTCCTTCCCTTGGAGCTCACAGCATCTTGGAAGTCAACATGGGGTCCAGAAAGGAATCCTGACTCCACCCTGTCAGGCTGACCTTGGGGACATAGCTAGGACCTGAGTCATGGGGTCATTGGGCAGGCTAGACACAGGGTCCACGCCCCACACCCCCACACCTGGCTCCCAAACCTCTGCCTCTGCATGTCTGCCCTGGGCACATTTGCCTCGGGGCCTGGGGTTGCCAGATACCCACCCAGAGATGATAAGAAGGGGATCCCAGCAGCCCCCTCCCAACACCCTCCCATACCAGACCCCAGGTTTTCCCATGGTGGGCCTGTGCTGTCCCAGGATGGGCTGCAGCAAGAAAGTTGCGGAGAACACTCCCACACCGAGGCGGGCCCAGCAGGTTTTTCAGGTCTGCCCTTCTGACACCACAACCAAGAAATTCCTGGCTATAATGACTGTTTACAACCAAGACACCTCACCTGGGTGGCACCCCAACACCTTCAGTGGGACCCCATTTCCACATCCTGCCACCCTGGGAGCAAATAAACTCTCAGTGTCTAGACTGTTCACACTATTCTAAGGGCCCGCTGCCCCAGGTGAACAGATGCGGTGGGGGTGAGGGAGGCAGGAAGGCGGGTTCTGGGCTTTCCTGAGAGGCTGGGCCCCAGGTTAAGGGCGGGCAGAGGCTACTCCCACAGAGAAGGAAGGGGAAAGAGGAAGTCGGGGGAGTGGAGAAGGGGGACTCTGGCTTCTCTTCTCCCTGATCCCTTCCCTTCCTCCATTTCCGGCAAGGGATCAGCTTCATGCCAAGAAAGGAAATTGGACATTTTGGGCTTCACCCATCTACTCAGGCCCTCCCTTGCTGTCCTCTTGTGCAGAACTAGCTCTTCCCCGCAGGAAACATTAACACACCCCATACCCTCCTCACCCCAACCTGTGGGCCCATGTTCCCAGGTGCTCACCAATACCAGATAGGTACTGTGGGGTGGCTTCAGGTACCTGAAAAAATAGTTGTCTCCACCAGGCCCGGCTCCCTCTGGTAGTGGCGGTGAGCAGTGAGTGCAGTGGCAGCTGCCTAGACCGCCTCCCACTAGGCAATGGCCCAGCCTACCTGGCCAGGGACTGGGCCGGCCCATACCTTTTAACCCTTACTTGCCTGCCACCGAGGCTCGGGTCACCCTTAGAGGCAATCTCAGGGTCAGGTACCCTCAGGGTGTCCAGCACAGCCAAGAAGAGAGCCTCGACCTTCCTCCTCACCCCACACCCCCAGCAGAGAGCTGGGGAAGAAGGGCTAAGGATGATGGCAGTGGTAGCTGCCTCTGGGGCTGCCCAATTTCCCAGATGAGACCCTGCTCAGCCCAGGGTATGACCTGGGAGCTGGGGGATGAAGGTCTGGTGAGGCCCAGAGTGTAAATCTGTGTGTCTCTTGGCAGTCCTCGTCACATTCCTCAGGACCTTACCTTCCCCCCACCCCACCCCCAGGGCAAGGCATTGGTATGGGAAGGCCTTAGAGCAAGTCCTCCCCTCACTGAGGTAACAGTGGCCCAGTTGGGGAGAAAGGTCAACTTTTCTAAAGAGAGATCGATGTTTCTAACTCTCTATCCTTCTCCCTTCCTCTCTGTAAAAAATCAATAAAATATATTTTAAAAAAAAATAAAGAGAGACCAGGTCTCAAGACACTCCCACCTTCTGCAGTTCCAAGAGAAATCATCCCAGCAAACATGTACTTTAACCCCTTCCGGTCCCTACAAACCTGGGTGGATGGTGCAGACCCAGCTCCTCATAGCCAGCTTGTAGATGTGGAAGTGGGGGCTTGGAGAGGTGGTGAGGCCTGATTCTGATCACAGAGGCATGAGAGCAGGCCGCATCAGATCTTGGGGGGCTAGGTCCTGGGTCAGAGGCCAACAGAGGCTACTCCTGCAAGGGAGGAGTGGGAAAGGGGACTCATGCTGCTTCACACCCATGCTGCCCTCCCCATTTTCCCTGCTTGGGCAAATCAAGGAAATTGAGGGCTCTGAGTCCCTCAGATGTACTGTTTCCCCCACTGCCTGGGCTCTGGACCTGCACCAGCACACACCACACCTCCTGCATTCCTCTTGAGACCATCTGTCTGTGACCTCAGGACCCAAGCCCAGCCCAGGCCCCTGCAGCAATCCATGCTGTGAGATGAAAGGGCAGCATAAGGCAAGTTCTCTGCCTGCTTGGCAGGTGGGCCAAGCCTGGAGAGGAGTTCCCTCTGTTCAGCAACACCCCACATACATGCCTCCTGCCACCCTGACCATCTTTCTTCCTGGGTATAAGATTTCTGACACAGAACACAAAGGCTCATTTCATCTCCCCCTTCCTACCCCTCCACCCCACCCCAGGCTGCCTGGGGCTGGTGGAGGCAGCAGCCATAAGGTGGGTAGTGGATATTGGTGGGGAGTATCCTCTCAGCCATGGCCTCTCCTGCCTCTTGTGGAACACCAAGGATGTTGAGACGAGGGATGTTTATAGAATCAGACATGAGAGGGACAAAGGTATCTGTCTGACAATGCAGATTGAGTCTCAAGACAGGTTTCTTCATCCGAAAAATGGGTAACTGGCACTTACAGAGCCAAGAGAGGTCAAAGACACTTTAAAAGGCATTTCCCAGTGCAACGTCACTCACACCATGTCATTAATGATAATAACAACAACAATAACCTCACGCAAAGGTGCAGGAATAAGGAGGAGAGAGAAGGTAGCCAGGCCTCTTGGGCCAAGCAGACAGGCAGGACAGAGTCTCACACACACACACACACACACACACACACACACACACACACATCATTGTCCTGGTACACGACTTTTAACAGCCTGGAAGCTGGCCAACCTCTAAGCCCCGCCACAACTGGAACTTGAGCCTCAGGTGGCCTCATGGAGGGGTAACAAGTGGTAGGTCTGGGTTCAACCCAGCTCTGCCACTAACTGGCTCTGCGACTACTTGGAGAAATCCCTTAACCTCTCTGGGCCTCAGTGTTATCACCAATAAAATGGGAGTGATGATGAAGAGGGTTGTTGTGAGCATGACTTGAATTAATACATTCAAAGCTTGCTTAGGATAGTGCCTGGCCCAAGCAAGCTAAGTGCTCCATATGTACTGGCTGTCACAATTACAAGTATTCTTCCCAACCCAAAGTCAGAAATCAAAATATATCAACATATATATATATGGGCTGATATCCCTCAGCCTCACCTGATAAATGCGAAACAGAGCTGTTTTCCCTCGAATAACTTGTCCGAACTCAGGAACTAAATATAATCAGGTGAATTTCTGAGACAGAGCTAGTATCCCTCAGAATCAAAAGCCTCCTTACTTGCTACTCAGATCTGATCCCTCCCTACTTGCCAAATCAGACATATTTGAAACAGAGCTGTTTTCCTTCATTGTCCAACCTCTCCCTACTCATCATAAAAAAATGCAGGAAACAAATATATTTACACAACACAGTGCCTTTACTATCCCAATTCTTGCCACTGGAGCTCAGGAAAATGAGAAGATTTGAATAAGTTTTTGAGTTAGAGCTGAAATTCCTCATTATCTGAACTCTTTCTACTCATTATATAAAATGCGAACATTTGTGTTTTAACAGCCAGTTTATCAACATACCACCAGATCCCTGTGACAAAGAGAAAGAGCAAAAGAGCTGGCAGAGCCTGGCTGGTATAGCTCAGTGGTTGTGTTGACCTATGAACCAGGAGGTCATGGTTTGATTCCTGGTCAGGGCACATGCCTAGGTTGCAGGCTCAATCCCCAGTGGGGGGCTTGTGGGGGGCAGCCAGTCAATGGTTCTCTCTCATCATAGATGTTTCTGTCTCTTTCTCCCCCTCCCTTCCTCTCTGAAATCAATAATATATATATTTTTTAAAAAGAGCTGGCAGAAAATCACTGTATATACAGGGTGTCCCAAAAAATGTATACACACTTTAACAGGTGATAGTTCAATTGATGTTTCCTTCTTTTCAGACTTAAACTATTGGAGTTAATAATGGGTTAAAAGTATATATTGCAAAACCAAAATACCTTCAGATAACTTGGGGGGTCTTTCGCTGTCTGAACTATCGAAACTCTCCCTCTTATAACTCAGGTACCAAATAGATTGGGACAGTGAGGGATGCTTGTGCTGTTATTAATAGGTTTGGATAAATGTTTTAGGTAAGTGAGATGGGTATGGTGTCTCATTCCTCAAACTCTCACTACTCTCTATGAGAAATGCAAAACAAAACATAAATGAAGAACACATTACATCCTCACTATCCAAATTCTCCCTGACTGTCCTCAGAATCAAGGAGATTCGTACAGCAAGGAAACCTTGCTGTTGTTATTGTTACTACTGGATGGGCCTGATTCTAACACCCAGTGACCACCCCCCCCCAGACCTGCCCACAGGGGTTAGATGGACTTAACAACAAGATACACTTACTGCTAAGAGAAGGTGGATAAGCCCCTGTCCCATCCTACCCCTACCAAGCCTTGAAGTCTCTGCCTGGAATGGATTTTTTTCAGGCCAGGAAAGCAGGGATCATGCACCCAGGGTCAAAATCGGGAGGTGGGGGTGACATGACTTAGAAGAATAACACATACCCTTGAGTCTCCCACCCCCACATATTTGCTCAGCCCCATGGGGCAGTCCCCAACCTAACAAGGCTGGAAATCTGACCCAGACCTCACAGACTCCCAGAGTCACTGAATAATTTAGGGTGTTCTTCCACACGTAGGGAGGGTGGGGAGCATAGGAACAGTTCTATGTCCTCCTAGGGCAGGGAGAGAAATGCCAGCTCTGTGTGAGATCACTGGGTGGGGGTGGGGGAAATCACATGCAAAAACCACTTTGGCCACACGAGGCCCAAAAGGCTGCGTGTTCTTGTTCATGCGAAGAGAAGCATCTGGGATGAACTTCAGAGACAACGGGATCAGTGGAACCTCCTGGTTCAGGGCAGGGTATAACGAGACCCCTTTCCTTCTGGCTCAGAGGAGATGGAAAGTGGGTGTTAAGAAGGAGGAGATGAACAGGGTAGGGGAGTACGGAAAGGGGTAGAACAGGTTCCTGGGGTTGGGACAGGATGAAGGGACAAGAAAGGAAGGAATGTAAAGAACAAAACAAAATCAGTCATTGTAGGATGGAGGTCAGGAGGTTGGGCACAAAAGGAGTCAGGACACTGGCTAGGAGATAGGATGGAGTGAGGCTCAGGACAAGGGTTAGAGAAAAAAAAGTCGGAGGCAGTAGGGGACAAAAAAGCCGAGCAGGGGTCAGGGTCAGTAGAGAACAGTAATAAGAAGACATGATGGGGACACACCAAAGCAGATTAAAGGAAGGGATAGGGAAAAGGGCAGGTGCAAGATGGAGGTAAGAAACAGGAAAAGACTGGTCTGGCATGAGGAGAGGAATGAGGACAGCAATGGGACAAGAGAAGACAGAGGGAAACAGTACAGGTTTGGGGGCAGGGATAGGGCAGGAGACAAAGGGATGGTCTAAAGGTGGTTAGTCAGGATGGAGATTAGGAGTCAGGAGAGGGATGGTGGGGTGGGGGGGATAGTACAGGGTGGGGAGAAAGTACAGTAGTCAGATGTCAGAAATCTGGACAGACATGGATCGGATTGGGGTTAGAGGGACAGGATAGGACTGGAAGGGGTTCAGAGACTGGATAAGAGTTTAGGGAACAGACAGGTCGAGCCTCAGGACAGAAACTGGGGTGATCAAGACAAGGCAAGATGAGCTTCATAGATAGAATAGGGTCAGGCAAGGACCTGGGGTCAGGCCAAGGATCCTGGGAACTGGGTGGGCTTTGGGGTCAGGACTAAGTTTAGGGTGACAAAACAGGGGTGGAAGATGACGCCAGGCTAGAATATGGTTAGGTCCGGGGTCAGAACGGAGCTCCTCGGGTCAAGACTGGCCCGGGCTCGAGATTTTTAAAAGATGCAGTCAGGTTCGGCAAGGGTCCAGAGTGAGGCCACGAGGTCAGAGGTGGGGGGCGGG